AAACTCTTAAACACGGAAATACCATTTTCTTGTTAGAGCCCATTCTGCTAGAATGTAAATATCAGGTCTGGCCCCCACCACTCCGCATTTTGTACCCTGCTCCCCACCCCCATCCACCCTTCATTCTGGCTCACCAAAATCTGAGTGCCACTTTTCTGGGAAAGCCTGATATTCTGACTTCAGTTTTGTAATTTAATGAAGGAGAGTTTCCTTAGTAAACCAAATTTAGTCCTAGAATGCTTATCTTATATCCAGACCTCGAACATAAAAGGCATTTTATACCCGCAATTGTTCATTTAATGAGCAATTGCAGAGTGCAGGCCGGTTAAGGGATTGAGCTATATGCACTATTATTGCAAGAAGTATTCCGAAATACCAGAAATAGGACGTAAGCTCTGATCAGGGAGACTGCGAGCACAATTACCTTCTTTTCAAATCCTTCTGTGACACTGCGGGAGGAAAAAGGACTTTGAAACTTGAAAGGAAAGAGCTTGCTTTCAACCTCAAAAGCTAGGAGGCAAGGGCTCTGAAATTTGCTCAGAATTCCCAATTCACCATTAGCCTGTTTCTTCCTTTAGCCTCAAGGCATTCTCCGCTTTTTGAAAAGATGTTAAGAAATTCAGTCACAATAGAGAGCCTAGTTTTGAACATGTTTCACTCGGTCCATTGAGGTCTGGGCTCCAGCCTTTGTGTGGGGTGAATTGAGCTGAGCGGCTAACTGGTTGGAGAGAGGTGAATGGAGAGTCTCCGTGCAGTCGCACATTCTGGCAAAGAAAGATGCTCCCCTTGCCTCTATTTTACAATATGCATTCCTGTGCAACCCTGCTAGTGGCAATATGTGGAGCTGAGCCTGTCTTAAGTCAATACGGAGTACTTGGTTTATAGCAACTCTTGTTAAGTTTGTCTTGTAATTGAAGCTGCTGTTGACCTTGCTTGGGGACCATTTGTAAAACCGTTTATTTAGCATAAACTGAAATAATAAACCCTCCTTCTCTCGGGCTGATTGTGATAGGGTGACATTAGTTTGATTTAATGATTAGCTGCCTGACCCTCCTGCTGGAGAGAGTGGCTTGAATAGAGAGAGTTCACTCGGAAGCACTCAGAAAGAATACTAATGAGCTTGTTAAATTTAGCATGGCTCCAACCACTTTTAATTCCTCTAATGGGAGAGCACTGCCTGGGAGAGGAAAAGAGGGAGGGGAGACAGGGAGACACTGAGAATGTTCCTAGTGGGTCTGCACAGCTCGAGGAAGCCCACCGAGAAGTTTGCAGAAAGTAGCTAGCCAGAGCCTGGGGTCTGAGTTGTAAGTATCATCTGTTCTCTTACACTCTGTGTCTTCTTCGGCTTTGGGGCAAGAGAGGATTGGTGTTAAAATGGGATTTAAGGGAACGGGTTAAAATCAACGGTATTTTAAAGAACAGGTGAACACGTGGACTGTGTGAGCTCCTAATCAGCTCACTTTGTTAGGTTGACAGGAGGTGTTCCTGGTTAGTGAGGCAGTGCAGGGTTTTATTTTTATATTGGAAGAATCGTCTGAAACTTTTATCTAGTCTTAGGTGAAAAAGCACTTATTTGTTTCCTTGGCTTTAGTGAGAAATTAATTTGTGGAGGAGTTTCTGAGCAAATGTGCAGGAGAGTGTGTTCGAGTTCTGCTTCATGTAGCATGATTACTTTCTTTAAATCTTTATTGTGAAGGGTCTAAGCAGTGTTTGCCATGAAGCAGCTTCTGAGTTTTCAGAGTTTATGGCACTGAGACGTGCTCTCGGTTGCCTTTGACTGAGTTTGGAAAATCTGGGGCAATTTCTAAAATGTAATGTTTGGGCAGCCCTCCATTTGGGGGTGCAGGAATTTGTTTACATCCACTCGTGTGCGGCTATACCGAAGGAAGGAGATACAAAGTGGGATGATGATGACAGTATTTAAAATACTTTTTTCTTGCCGCTTTTTAGTGAATGGCATGTTTCCGTGTGACCCCCAAACTTGCAGCTGTTTAATGCAGAGAGACACATGAACAGTCCCCTTGTGTTGGGCTGTTTAAGTCCATTGGCAGATGCTCCTGGAGCAGTGGGCTGTTTGCTTACATTTTTTGCAGCCGACTTCTGCTTGTTGCCATGGTGGACAGTATGTTTCTGTCAATAATTTGGCCTGGCGTTGCCTGTCTGCACTGACTCTCAAACTTTATTGAACAGCTCAGCCCAACTGAACAAGATTAGACAGCTTTTGGCTTGCTGAAGTGGTTGCTAAATTTATAAGAGGAGGCAGGAATATTGCTTGGAAGGTTTCCTTTTCACTATAGAGTGTGTTTTCAAGCCCCGTAGCTGTTTGTATTCTGTAGTGCGTGTACTGTCAAGTTTTCATTTGAATGCCCATCAAAAGCAACTAGTACCCGAGGTAAACTTCATGAAATATTTGTCTACTGGAAATTTTTTGGAGAGGGAGGGAAGGTAAAAATGTGGTAGCAGTGACTATTGTGTAAGTAAGTCTGATGAAAGTTTCCACATCAAAAAAAAAATCTTGCCTGCCTTTTACCTTAAGTAAGGGAATTAGTTAACATTTTCTAAATGTTTGAACTTGCATGTTTGAACTTGCATATTTCTTGTTATAACTTAAATAGTCACACATCTTGGGTTGACTTTCACTAAGAAAATAAAAAAAATTTAGTACTTGTGGAAAAAAAATCGTTTAGCTAAATGTCACCCCCATTTCCACCCCCAGGCCCCCAGAACTTCCTTCTCCCAGAAGGTTGGGGATGGGAGGGCTCCAGTCAGACCATGCCACCAATTATTCAGTTATTTGTAAAGGTAGATTCCCATGCTCTTCATAAAGACATGGCTTCTCAGAAACTCACTCTATTATAGGGATGCAGTTTTAAGAGAAGAGAAGTTGATTTCTTCTAGGAAGAGTAAGTTAAGAGTCTGTTTTAAACCTGGAACAGATCAGTAGAGGTTGGTTATTCATTTTTCCCCGAGAATGCTAATTATGTGTCACAGTCTCCCTTGCCAAGGGCTTTCTGGCTTTCCAAATGAAGGTCCATCCTACAGAATTTGTACCTCAGTGCTCCAAGTTCACTTCAGGTTGAAATTTGAAATAAAGGTTTTATATACTAAAGGCTTAACTTTGCAGAAAATATGACTTTGGCCATTTTTAAGTTTTACAAATTTTTATAAAACCAACTAAGAGTTTTAGTGTTTTGACACCCTTTTGCTTTTACGCAACTGCAAACCCTTATTCTATAACCTGCAACTTTACTATTAATCAAGTACAAGGGTGGACTAGTGCCTAAGAGTATTAGAAGGGAAAAGAAAAATGCAGGGCTGCTTTTGTAATTTGTTTTTAAATTAGCAAAAACATGGTTTGAATCACGTTTATAAAGATCCATGTGTGAAAATGTGGGACTACCCCAGTTTTAGATTAAACTCATAACTTGTACGATAATTACAAGGTTTGAGGATCTGCACACAACAATGCTAAAATAATGTTTAATAGTTACCCTGTGCAGGGCAGCAAATTCACTGAACATACCAAAATATACCTCATTGCCTGTTCTGTTTTGCAAGTCATTTGCTAGGCTGAAAAAAATACATTCTTATTTCTTCAAGTAGAAAGACTGAATTTGCTCCTGGCTTTAGGTGGTTCAAGTCAAAAACAGTAGTAGTTCCTTTAGTTCATACTTTCACTGTCATCTGTGTTTATAGCTATACTTTCTTCTGACTTTGCACAAAGGGCTATGTAACTATTAACACATACTTTTTCTATCTTTCAGGGGCTCTCAGCCAAGCATATCAGCTTTATGAAATACTTTGAAGATAAATTTGTTTATTGGAATAAGATGTGTTCAAAATCTGTCCATCTGAAATGCACAATCATGTTATTACACATGCACACATGCGCACGTGCGCATATATTATAAGATCAGGAATGGGAAACAGTTTGCAAACTAGATGTATGAGCAGCGCTGGCACAGCTTTGTTCTGTCAGCACTTATCTGCTGGAGTGCAGTCTGTTGATGAACTGTGGAGTTTGTTTGGGAGTATGTCGTTTAGAATGTGTGTATGGTTCTAACAGATGAATTGGTCCATTTGTTGTGGGTTCAGATCGCCAGTTTGGTTTTTACTTTTATGCATTGGTTCTTTGATCTCCTATTAGAGAAAGGTCATCCAGTCACATGGGCAGAAAAGCATAGAGGATAGATGGAAATTTCTTATAGATCAAAAGAACAGAAGTATTGGAACAGGAATATCAAATATATATGGAATTTCATCAAGCTGTTTCTCCCATGTTGGAAGCAGTGTCTGGTCCCCACCAGAGCAAGTCACATATCAGCCCAACTGACACCTCCCTCACCCATGAGACTTCTCGTTCTGGACTAGTCCCTTTTCCACTTAGTTCTCAGCTCTGTCCTCTTGGCTGACATAGGAGCTGTCATCAAGTAGGTTTTCTCTCCCATTTCTGTCTTTGTTGAGTCCCTCAGAGGGTTACAAATCTGACTTGAAAAATCAAAAACATGAAAACTTTGGATCAGTTTATGACAGGTCATCCTCTGCGGAACAGAGGCTATTTGAACCCCAGATCACCCAGAGGGTGTCCGGGCTTCGTGTTACCGCAGAGACCTGGCTTTCTTAGACAAGGGGAAGCTGGACACCTCAGTCTCGGGCTGGCAAAGCTTCCAACTCCACGTGGGACCTGTGGGATACTGGCACGTTCCTGATGAAAAGCCCCAGTGGCCGGTTCATCTGTAAGCTGGTGAAGATAATTTACTGACCTACATCTTAAGATGATAAGCTCATTTCCCGCTTCCCTTCATCCTTCTATTGGTATTATGGACCCTCATTCATACACAGTTTGCCTGGAGACTCTCCCATTGTGGCATAGCTTCCAAAGTTGCCACGAGTGGCAAATTGGCTTCGTTTGGGAGGAAGGATGGAGAGAGACCTAATTACTGTTTTTGAGTTGCTTCTTAAGATGGTTCATAGAGCTTTCATTTTCCTTCTTTCTTTAGAGGATGAAAGTCCTGGACAGACCTATCACAGAGAGAGAAGAAACGCAGTCACCATGCAGCCACAGAGTGTCCAGGGGCTCGGCAAGATCAGTGAGGAGCCTTCAACCTCTAGCGATGAGAGGGCCTCGTTGATCAAGAAAGAGATTCATGGGTCCCTCCCGCACCTGGCCGAGCCCTCCGTGCCCTACCGTGGGGCCGTGTTTGCCATGGACCCCAGGAATGGTTACATGGAGCCCCACTACCGTAAGTGTGCCTATTCCAAGAGCCGCGGGAAGTCTGTGTGGGTGCTGCACTTTGTGAATTGCTTGGCTTGTACTAATTCATAAAAACGTTTAATTTACTGTCCCTCTCCTTCCTTCCTGCATCCCGTCCTTTCTTCTTTTTAGAAAGAGCCATTTTCTTACCTCTTCAAGCAACTTCCGGCCTCAGTGGGGCGGCCTTCAGGAAGGTATCCATCTGTGGATTATAATCCACATAGGCCTTTCCTGGGAGCTAGAACCAGGTTCACTCCACCCAAGTGGAGGCTGCAGGAGGAAAATTGGTTGATGGGGGAGAGTTATTAAAGTGGGCTGCATTAGCAGAAGTTGTTAACAGCAGCTATTCCCATTTTTAATGATGCTTTTGCTTAATTGTTGAGGATGAACAAACCTCTTTTAACAGATTAGTGCTAAATTCCATAACATGGAAGATTTTTTCTACTTTCTTCTCTAATCAGCCTATCAGCAACATCAGAAGCTCCCATTCCAGCACTAATGGAATTTAAGAAATTAACTAGGGCTCTGAACACAGATATATGGTGGTGTTCTCCAAAGGCAGAATATAAAGAAAAACATATCAGGGTTGACTTTATTTATGGCCTGTTTCTAGTTAAAAAATATAATTTGGTTGTGGAGTAATGAAGTTCATATTGAGGTGCCAAAGCTTGCAGCTCTTGATTACAGATTTATCACCTTGCCAGGATACAGACTTGCCATTTAACCTTCCCAACTCCAATTCCAGATGATCCATTGAGCTCCAGAGAGGGGGACTGGTTTGTGTTTCCCTTTTTCCACATCATTCAGAAATTTTAGTGTTTTAAGGCAAAAGGTCATTAGCCAGATGACTGATTAGTGAGGACAGCTGATTAGTGCTTTTTTTTTTTGCTCAAGAAAGTGCCTGGGATAAAAGCTAATTTCATCCCTTCATTAGTTGGCTTGCAGCAGAGGGGAATGTTCCCTCATCAGGGTGCAGATCAAAGAGCCTCCAGCAACGTTAAGTCTCAGCAACGGGCCCCCCATTCTCCCCGCCACCACCAGATTATGTTGCTGGTAAAAAGGGAAGATACATTGTGTTTTTAAGTGGAGAGAAATTGTTTTTTAAAGTGGTCAGAAGCATGGAGGAGAAGGTTTGGATAGGTTCTTCTAAGCTTTTAAAACAGGGCTACAACCCCTCTTTTTAAAAAGTGCTGATCAGTGCTGTAGTGGGTGTTTATACAGGTACAGAGATGAGGAGGGGGTATAGTGTGGTATTCTTTCCCTTCCCTCATTAAATTTACTTCATTTTATTTTTCATTTAAGAATGCAAGTTTAAAACAGTGGTAGGAGGGTTTTTGTCTGCGCACAATCCTCACATTGCCTTTTTATTTATGGGTCTCTGTTAGATATCATCCATGCAGAAAATTTGGGGCAATCTACATACTTTCTACCTATATTAATATGCTGTGTTTTCAAAAAGAATCAAGTCTAGATGCTCAGCCATGAGTTCTCTGCATTGTTTTTGTCCTTCTGTGTGAACACAAACTTTTCCCATCTTGAATGTATGCTTTGTTTTCTATTCCAGATGCCCACTCATTAGTGAGGTGTTTAATTGGTCAGGACAACTGATGAGTCCTGCTTTTTTGGCTGATGGAATTCCATAGGCAAATGGCCGTTAACTTTCTCTCTGTGCCATTCAGACAGCAGCTAGTTCTTGCTGGCTTGTTCCAATGGTTTGCCCCTTGAGTCTTCTCCCCTTCTCTTGAGTGGCTGGGCTCTCTACATGTCTGGGCCCTCAGCACCTCTCAGCAGTGTGTGCGCCCCACCTCCTGGGTTTCCAGTGGAGGGTTCGCTAGCAAGGGATGCTGGAGAGCTCTGGGGGGCTTGGAACAGTTCGTTGCTACTCTCTTTAGAGGGCATAGCACTAGCCAGTTGGTTCTTCTTCAGCTTTTCTCCCTGTAGTGTTTGAATCCCTGTTAAAATAACATGCTGACTTATAAGCTGTTTAAGTTGCCTATAACCAAATGGCAAATGCTACTAGGACCCACCATCCCAGTGTACTCCTTAACTGATTATAACATAAACAAATGATATCATTACACAGATAATGTGGACTGGGAATCATGGAGGGCACACCGATTGGCTCAGCCCTCGGGGAATTTGGGTTCAGGTTCTAGCTTTGCCGCTTCTTACTGGCTGTGCAACCGTGGCTGAGTGTGCTGAACCCCCTGGGGATCATTTCCAAGCTTTTGAATGAGGGCTGCTCCATGGTATTCTCGTGAGAATTAACTGATACAGTGCCAATAAAGTATTTAGTGAACTCTCTGGCTTGTGGTAAATGCTTCAGAATTATTGCAGCAGCTGTTCTCCTCTGCCTCTGGCTCCTTCTGCTCCTTTTTCCACGATCATCATTCTCATCGTCTGTGAAGAGTTCACTCTCCAAGCCAAGTTCTTTTTTCTTTTTTTTCCTTTTTTTTAAATTTTTTATTGAAGGGTAGTTGACACACAGTATTACATTAGTTTCAGGTGTACAACACAGTGATTTAACATTTATATACATGATAATTCTAGGTACCAGCTATCACCATACCAAGTTGTTACTATATTTTGACTATATTCCTTATGCTATACATTACATCCCGGTTACTTATTTATTTTACAATTGGAAATGTGTACTTTTTTTTTTTTTTTT